GCAACTCCATTCAAACTCTCCTTGGTAACCCTAAGGATAAAATTCCATTCTTAGAAAAGTCGGGGATATATGAAATTAGTTGTAATGACTGTAGTAAAAAATATATTGGACAAACTAGACGTTCAATCAAAACCAGATTTAAAGAACATCTAGCTCATGCTAGGTTTGGTAGAGAAGAAAAATCTAGTGTTGCCCAACATATTCTTACTGATGGACATAATATTAATATTAATAACCTTAAGTTAGTTAAAGAAGTTAGGAATAATCGTTTACTAAACAGTTTTGAAAGTTTATACATTTATAAAAATAAACAAATTGTTCTTAACAATGACAACGGTCCTATCCCTGGATCTCCGCTATTTAGTTTAGTTTAATTACGTTTATGATGATGATGTTAAGGTCCATTGAACATCTACCTTGTTGGCTTCGGGTCATGTTCACTGAACCTTAACAACTATCAGTATAAATTAGGATTAGTTCTCATTTAGGTTTAGTTTACTTCAGTCCCTGAAGAAGGTAACTTTGTTACCGAAAAGTGCTTCGGACAACTACAGTGTCGTGTTTTGGCGTTGGGGTTTTGAGCTATTCTGTTTGTTCTACAACAACCGCCAAAGTTTTTCCAATCTTCATATTTCAAGTAGTTTAACTCATAAATCCACCGGAAGTAATATTTTTTCATCTATACTTGCGTATTTGGTCTTGGTTTTACATATTCGTTCTTGGTCTTGTTTGTTTGGTACTGGTTTTAGTCTTGGTCTTGCTTGTATAAAGACAATGTTCGTCTTGGTCTTAATCTTGCATTTTCGCAAGACCCAAATCAAGACTGTAAGACCAAAAACAATTTTGCTCATTACTAACACTCACACCTGACTGTTTTCGTTGCTGAAAAGGAAAAAACTCGATTGGATTGTTTTACGGTTTCGTAGGTTAAAAGGGAAAACTAAAACTATTCGACTGGTAAAGAGTAATCAAGTCAAAATGTAAATTCGGTTGTTCTGTACAAATCAAATGAAAATAGAATATGCAAATTCGGCCGGAAAAATCAGCTTTTAGATATATGTTTACTGCAGAAACAAAGTACCTATAACAGATAGTATTGCTCTTAAGTGAAGTGAGGTTCGAGTCTAAAATTTGAAAATAGGATCCCTTAAAAGAATGTCTCAAAAATTTTTATATAAAATATGAGAACTGACAGGAATACCGTAACAACCCCCAAGCTGGCGTAATGTTGAGTTTATTGGCCTCTTTACTCATAATCATAAATGATATCAAGACTTGAATATTTGCTTGAAGTAGGTATTGAAAAAAGGGTCCTGATAATTTTTTTAGTATTGTCCCACCACAAATAACGTCAAATTAATTTTTTCTTTTTTCACATCGTTCATTATCCTATCACGATCTAATATTCTTTAAAATTTCCATCAGTCGGCTCAATCCACCTCCTTCCATGTTCTCCATGTTCACTAACTAAAAGTATTCTACTTTCCTCACATACTTCAGATATTCTACCTCCCTCTCACACACCCTGCACCGTTTGTCTCTTCTTTCTTTCAAAATTTACATTACCCACACTCATTTTCTGTCCTAAATTTTGTCAATGCTTATTTTCTTCCCTCCATTTAAATACCTTGGCACACAGTATTATCACCTTCCCTCGCCTGCCCCTGATTAATTTTTCATTTCATTTCATTTCAATTTCAGTTTGTCCCTTGACAGTCTTATCGTATGCCATTTTTAAATCCACAAACATTAAATACACTGTTTTTTGCATCCCAACTGCCTCTGTACCACATCTTTTGTCATATAATCGTGTCCTCTTTCCTTTTTTGAAATTGGATTGCGTTTCATTTAGTACCTTGGTTTTAAAATCTACTACTCTATCCTATTTCTTATCATTTCCGTGTATAATTTAAAGCCCGTATCCATAATTACAATATCCCTGTAATTTTTTATATTCTCCTTTGTTCCTTTCTCAAATACTAATGCTATTCACACTTCCATGCCTGAGATAAGCATTTCACTTCTTTCCCATAAGCTCTCCATAATATCGTTTCTCCAATACTACATCTATTACATATCTTCGAGCCCCCGGAATGCCATTTAGTGCTAACGCTTTTTTTTATAGCGTCCCCATCCCTTTTATCACCTCCTCTCTTGTCAGTTTTCCAACTCTTCTTTTTTCCTTTCTATTAGTATTCTATACCCTCCTACGGCCCTCTCTCCACTCTCTTTAGTTTTATTACTTTTCTTATATCTATATATTATTCTCCAGTACTTCTCCGTTCTCCTCGCCGCGCCTTTCATTTATTAATTTATTACTGTATTCCTCTTTGCTTCTCTTAATATGTTCACTTGATTCTCTAGAGTTGAGCCTATATTTCTTTAACTTCAATTCAATTCAATTCAATTTCAATATTTCTTCCCAACTCCTTTCGTATACCATCGCACAATTTATTACTTACCTCTCCCTATAAACGTGTACCTGCATCCCGTGGACACGCCCCGTTAAATATACATATCCCATTTTTTACACCAGTGATTACTCATGTGTACATCCCTTGATTGCCTTTCACGTCTTTCAACAATACCTATCTTGCCCACACTCATATTACTATCATTACATTACTATTTTATTTATTTACTGTCCTTTCCTCATTGTTTTTTTAGCTTTCTTCTTATTCTTCATTAATACTTATGTATATACGAGCACTGTCACCCATGCTTCTCGTCATTAACACCTCTATAATCACCAGTCCACTATTCAATTCTTTAACATTTACCTTCAAAGCATTTTCCAAACCTACAAATATCCCTGCCCCATGGATGTACCTAGCTTTTGACTCAAGGGGGGGGGGGGCAATTGAGATATTTTCTATACAATAATTAATTTAGTCTTGTTCCTTTAATATACCTAATAATAATATATAGCCAGTTTCACTTATCTTTGTTAGTTTTCAGTTCATAACCACGATTCTTTTTTTAATTTCACACAACCAATCACGCGGAATCCAGTTCCGGCATCGGTTTTCTAGTTTTTCATCGGGAAGAATGTTTTTGTTGTTCCTACTACATCCTACTTCAATTCTACCTTTTTCCAACTCTTCCGAAGTACGGTGGTCTGTATAAAAATGCAAACCCCGAAGTAAAAATCGCCTCTAAGCCCCATGTGTAAGGACATAGTATCCGGCACTCCTTCCGCTCCTTCTCAGGTTCATTCCGAACCAGGGCCACCATCTGTTAGCGCTAACGGCTTCACTAAAGCCGGGAAGCGTCGCAACAAACGCCGGAGAACACCCTTCCTATCATCGTCTTCGTTAACGTCCACTGACACTGAGGCGGAAACGGAGCAGCCGAGCCAATGCTCTAAACATCCCCCATTCATTGTTATCAACCAAAAGTCCTTTTGGCCGAAAATTTGTATTACCACTTGTCGGGCCTTTAACACCCAAAACTCGATCAGAGACTACCCTAACTCCGTGAACGATTTTCGTCGTCTATCGTCGTACCTCGACGAATCCAAGGTTGAGTTCTCAACCAACCAACTTCAACAAGACAGAGTCTTCCCCTAGGTCCAAGTCAATCTTCGAACTTTGCAAGCTCTGCGGTTTCAACGTCAAAGTTGAACAGAAAACAGCCAACAAAGGAGTGTTCCAATGTCGCCGTTGTATGAAATTCATTCATACGACCAATTACTGCCACGCTGCTTGGGTCTGCTCTTTGTGCGGCCGCAACCATGTCCCCGCCGAATGCGAGACAAAAGAAAGGAAAAACGCAATTCCCTCCTGTGCTAACTGCAAAGGGAATCACCGTGCCACCTATCGTAGTTGTCGCAAGGTATCTAAGTAAACTATACCACTCAAAAAACCCTCCCATCCTCCGGCCGCTTCAAAAAGTGTCAAGGCAATCACCCGTCCTTTAGCTACCTCCGTAGAGACTCTCCCCCAAATGTCTTACGCCAGGGTAGTGAGGGCAGCCCCCACTTCCATCCAGAAGTTCAACGCAACACCAAGCATCTCTTCAGCGCCAGTTGCTTCTCCAACTCTGGAAGAGAAACTTCAGGTCATCGTGCAAATGATGGTAGCCAGCATAACTGCCGCCCTCCAAACACCCATCCATGGATAAAAATGCCCACCCAAATAATCTTTAAGTAGTTACCTGGAATGCTCAAAGCATTAGAGGTAAATTGACTGAACTCGAACACTTCCTCGAGGAACAGTCAAACCCAACCCTCACATCCTATAGTAGGGACTGTAAGTTTTCCGAGGAGATGGTGTGGCCATTCTCGTTAGGAACTCTTTAAAATACAGGCCCATTTCTTTGGCCACTTATTCCTTAGAGGTAGTTGACATTGAAGTCTCGCTAACTTCCGGTTCCCTTAGTATCATTTCCCTTTACCCCCCCCCCTCCCAGCTGAACTAAATCTTTCCTCCTCTCGAACATCGCAACGATCGTCGCAGGCGACCTCAATGCCAAACACGCCTCCTGGGGCTGCCGACACACTAACAAAAAAGACATTTCCCTTCTTGCCAAAGTCTCAGACCTCAATCTCGCCGTTGAAGCGCCCCCACAATTAACTTCCTGACATTCTTGACATCTTCGTCTTAAAGAATGTCACTCTTTCTGCCGATCCCACCGTTCTCGACGCTCTATGCTCCGACCACCTTCCAGCCCTAATAGAAGTCGGCCACCCAACCCTCAACCCCCCAAACTTTACAACTTCGCTAGGCTGGCTACGTCTCCACTACACTCTCAAAACATCCTCCTTCAAGTGCACTTTAATTCGCACAATAGCGAAACTCGACAAAGCTGTTAATCTCCTTTCAAACGAGATCACCAGCGCAATCGAGCTCTCCATGACCTCCCGCCCCTCGTCCTTGCTAGAAAAACACCTTCCCACAGAGATTCTTGCCATCGTCAAGAAGAAAAACAAAAACACCGTGATTCCGCATACCGCACCGAGAGAAATGCACTCCAGCGCGAACTGAATACTCGCTTAACCGAATTTCGTAGCGCCACCTTCGACGGTTATATCGCTCAGGTCGAAACACATCCCAAAAGCACTTGGAGAGCGATCCGCTCTATGCGAAACAGAACCCATCACCTCCCGCCGCTAAAAGAAAACGGCTTCGTATTTATTTCAGATGAGGAAAAAGATGCGATCTTCGCTGACTCTCTGTCTCCAGTGTTCCCCACATCCCAGCCCTGTTGACCTTGCCGACTTTCACGAGCGCACCAACGTCGCTTCCCAAAACTTCATCCCAACTGTTTCCGACTTTAAACGCAACGCACATCCCTCGTGAAATCTTCCTCACCGAAAATCTCCTGGCGCGGACGGAATTCTTAACGGTGTCCTAAAAGTTCTGCCATCAAAACCCATAACCACACTCTGCAACATCACAAACGGCTTCAGGATTTCCCTCCGGTCTGGAAAGAAGCCACCGTCATCTGTCTCCCCAAAAAAAGGGAGGTCTCCCTCAAGCTACATGCCCATTAGCCTGCTCAGTTTGCTGAGCAAAGTTTCCTTCTAATATTATTTGTCAATAAAATTATTTATTAATAAGTTAAGATCNTTTTTAAATCCAACAAGACGTAATAATTTTCTGTTGGCATTGTTTACCATGTTTACAACTTGCTAATACTTTTTTGTAAATGCTATCTAAGACGACTCAACGTGGAGGCTCCTAAATCATTATTCGTAAAGGCCCCTCCTTTTTAATTTTTTAATATGCAATCCCCAATCAGCGGACGAAAAATTGGTAAATTGTCAATAAAATTATTTATTAATAAGTTAAGATCCATTTTTTCAATATCTACTAACGGTTATCCGTTGTGGTTTCGCCCTCAGTATGTTATGTTGTTTCTTAATAATCAAGAGCTATGATGATTCTGAAGAAAAATCGAAGGAATATATACCATTCTTAATATCTCGATATCTCCGAAATTTTAAAGATGTCTATTAATTTTATGATACTTCATTTAATACCGCATATAACTGATGAACTACGATATAATGAAAAATCGATGAATATATGTCATTCTTACAATTTCGTTATCTTTCTATTCAACTTTATTTGAAATTTTTCGTTTTTTTCGTCAGCCCTTTCAGCAAATTCGTTCTTATTGCGCTTCTATGTATAAAAGTCAGAATATGCTATCACAGCTTTATTCAAATCGATCCAACAGTTTTCGGCCGTGCGTTGATTATCAGTTAAACAGTCAGTTAGACGGTCAATCATTCAAGACAAGCAGCTTTGTATATATAGAGATGCTTTCGCCTGTTTATTATTTTCCAAAATAAATTCTACACTATAAGGTGATTGAGAGCTTCAGTTTGTTTATCAGATGAAAATTAATGGTAAAGTTAAGGGTTGTCGAATGATTGAAAGCTTTGACTTACGAGATTGTTTTTTCTTGTTTCTATCAAGATGTGTTTCTACTCATGAAAAAAATAGTTATGATTTTGCGAGGTATGGAAGTCCATAGCTAGGTCATAGTAATTTTTGGATTCCATCATGGCAACTATGATGCCCCTGTCCCCGGAACCTTCTATTACTGAAAGTTATAACAGACCACTATGATCAATGTTTAATTTTAATGCTTTGAACATTCATATTACATTCTCGCTTTTGTTAGATTTACGTTACCACAGGTACATATAAAAAAATGCTACTTAACAAATGTACATGCAAATATATATTTTTATATTGGTAGTGCCAGGATTGGTCAATTATTTAATGGGTGGGTAAAGAGTCGATTAAAAAAATCACATTGGCGCGTATTTTAAATACAAAACCATTACTTACAATGTTTCTGTTTATACGTAATACATTGTAGATGCGGTATGCTTAAAGGTGTAGCAGTGTCACAATTTAAACGTATGAAAGAACGTATGAACGGGAAATAGCTAATGCAGTTTGGAATATGTGGGAGTCTCCTGTAAAAATGTTTTATTAAAACCATTATGGAAAAAGGCAAAAACAAAATTATTGGCTGGGTTCCCAAAGTAGTCAACCGTTCTGTACTTCTAGAGACTTATTAGTTACAGTTGTCTACGCATGTATTTATTTTCATTATTTCTCCGTACACCAGCAGATAATGCTTTGCCCGCTATTAAGCTGTAAATGCGTACGGTGAATCCTAACAACCGTGTGTCTAAAAATACAACCAGAAGTCCTGAAATCTAAACGTGGCTAACATATATTTTTGAAGTTATGTAAGAGAAAGTGTGCAGCGTCCTAAAGTTCTTTAAGTGTTCTTATTTAGGATGACAAGAAAAACCGTAAGACGAAAATGACTTTTTGTTTTTATTACGTCTGCTTATTAACAAAAAACGCCACTACGTACGATGTTATTTCGACTTAACTATCGCATGAAAACTTTTCAAGAGTGTGCGTTTGGTATAACAAAGGAAGTTTCATTGTGACAACTGCTTTAAAACTATTAGATGAAGTAGTTGCTAACATGCTCCTTTACATTTTTTTTATCCAATTTAAGAAAAAATGTTTAAAATTAATGCTTCTATCGGTTTAAATATAAAGAAAATAGAAACGTTGTCTTTTATGATACTTATAGAGATATTAAAATTAACCAAGCTAACAGCTGAGCAAATATTTTGCTATATACATACCTACCAAGACTTAACTAAATTGTAGATACCTACTAAAATTTAATGATAATAAGAAAAGTAAAGTGCATAGATTTGTGTAGTTTCAGATATCAGGAAAAATGTTTTTCCAATTTACTAACGGACTGTTAGCTACGCATTATGTTTGCAATTTTTATTATACTGGAATTGTATTTTAATTTTATACTTCTTATGAAATCGCCGACGGAATTGTGTCTGGTCAGTCTGTCGGCATGTGCGTCATAAAAATGTGCTTTTGATTTATATGCCCAACAAACCTTGCGTTTTTCATAGTTTGGAAACTCATATGTCTACATCACATTAAGCTGTAGGCAGACAAATTAATTTCCCACTCTTAGGTAATTCTTTTGAAAGTATCTTAGCATTTTAAATTCTTTTGATAACAATTTAAGTAGGTTTTTATCGTATTTTATTAATGACAATAATAACAAAAATGAAATATATATCTAAGGTAACATTAACTTTAACAATCCAAATGATGCTTAATACTTTTAAATTATTAATTTTAACCTCTACATTACCAACTTTGACTGTTTGCTAGTTGGAATGATTGGTTTTAACATATTAGGTTATGGTTTGAATTGGTTTCTCTGATTGTTATACCATATCTTATCGTAATTTAAAAGGAAAATTGGGCATACCTAGGTTTCAAAGTACTATTCATTAGATATTTTTTCCTCCAAATTTTAAATTATATTTGTGGACATTGTTTTTTTTGGTCGATAACTATTAGGTACTATAAATCTACTACTACATATACCGTTAATGTTATTTTTTGAAAGAGTATTTACCTATCAAAAGTGACGTACTTATTATTTGTTGTGTGAAATGGTTTTTTAGTTTTGGTAGTGTCTATTAATTTCTTTCTACACCTAAAATTATCTTGGTTAATTTTAGAGTGTATTTAATTCTTGCCGATAAAAAAATACACAAACAAATAATAAATAATATTGAACAAATAAATTCGAAGCGGTCAGTATTCTGTCGATTTAATAAATAACGTTTTCCAAAATTAGAAGAATTTCTTAACGTCTCTGCATTAAATAAGGGTAAACCTGCATACATGCACTCCATTAACCACTGAAAAGAATAGAATCAATTGCCTAAAAGTATACTGTACGTCACTGTATACTATTACGTTATACAATTTGTGAATTAAGTACTTAGTTCGCAAATATAAAAACATTTCATACTGTTAGAAGAAGCTAGAGGAATGTTTTGTTGGGAAATATACCTATAGGAAACATTTGCCTATTAAAAAATTACGATACTAGATATGAAGAATTATGTCAAAGGTTGCAATCAGAATGAATAAGCTTTTGAAATATTTGGGACTGTTTTGAGTAATAAAATCCGCAATTGTTAAATTAAAGGTTTTGTACCCTACTGACATTCATATCTATCAAAATGCCAAAATTCAAATTAATATAAAAGGTTGCAAAGCGTTGGAAAGTTAACCGACCGGCATGGTCTAGACGTTTAGTTTAGTAGTTTACCATTCGGGAGGACGCCGGTTCGATTCCGGGTCCGTCTGCCTTGGTCCAAGTTTTTCTGTGGTTTCCTTGGATCACATAGACAAATGCTGGGGAAGTAATATTCCACAAATAATCTTTCATTCTCTTCTGTCTTCATTTCGTCCGTCTCAACTTTCTCACCCGAATCACCACCTACCTGTTTCCACGATTCCTGAAAGCAGGCTAAAGAGGGCCTTCGGCCCTACCTTCCGGCGTAGTCTGGAGGGACTGCCCGCCCATCAGCATTACTGGCTAGTGGGAATGAAACACCCAAAAGTTTTTAGTTTTAGTTTTGGAAAGTTAAGAATAGTAGGCGAGACCGTGACAAAACAAGGTTCCGGGCAAGCCGCGACGAGAGCTAATGTATGTAACTAGTATGTGCATATGTGGTCCCGATAGGGCTATTCGGACGAACTTAAGTCGCTCTACACGAGTCAGCTGGAAGGGAACGTGTGGTTATTTTTTTTTTGCTGCACTGTGAGAAAAGATTGAATTTGTTCTTATTATGCGAAGTTTTGTGACAAATATTGACGTGTTATCAGGCGAGTAACTAAATATTTTTGCAGTATTTTCAGCCCTAAATCGTAACAGTGGTGTCGGAGTTTGATATAAGGTACTTTTCATAGCCGTCACTGTTTTAGGTTAGAAGTACTTAGTTTAAGTACAAAATATGTTTGTTGGGGCAAAATGGTGGGGCCTAACGGGATACTCAATCCGGATAGAAAAATATTAACAAACCCAAGAAATAAAGTGCTCTTGAAAAACATTTGAATGAGTCAATCCTACTAGTTTCTAATTCTATTGGACAAGCAGTCCCTCCGGACTACTCCGGAGAGCAGAGCGGAAGGTTATCTTCACCTTCTTTTAGGAATCATGAAAATGGGTGGGTGTCGGTTGGGGTGAGAAAGATGAGACGGACGAAATAAAGAGAAGTAAAGGATCATCTGTGAAATAAAGTTATCATTAATACTTCCTCATCATTTGCCAAAGTGATCCAAGGAAATTCGGAATCGAACCAGTGTCCTCTGTTTAGTAATGACCTTAACCTTTAAGCAGTGCTGCTGGATATTGCGCTTGTATGTACTTGCAAAGGATGGGTATTTTGATATGTTGTAGTGTGTGCCATGATTGAGACCATAATATAATTCCTGTGTTGGAATTGATAACCACGACAATTTTGCGCATACTTGTAAACACTGACAGTCTGATTAAAATATATGCTCTTTTTACCCCCGTCCTATTCCAATTTCTTATTGTAAAAGTTATTTTATTAAACAATTTCATTTTCTTTATATGATCACTTCTTCTTTTAAGTATCCCATTTTGCCCCGGTCTCTCCTATTTTAAGGGTCAATTCATTGAGGCTACTATACAATATTTTCTACGAAGCATATTTAATGTTAATTTTTTAGGTAACTACTTCAATAATATGAATAGTTAATCCTGAGGCTTGAGAATTTCTCGCCTATAATTTCAAGATGGAAGTCACCTTCTAAGTAGTGTTGGACTCTGTTATTTGTACAACTTTTGCAATATTCTAGTAGAAGATCTGTAACCATCCGGAAACTACTCAATCTGACTGTAAACTCAGTTATCTGTAAATAATGCTAATATTGAAGTTTTAAAACCAGTCAACTAGAATAATTTGCCTCTCAACCAACAGCCCTTACATTTAGTAATTTTTCTTCATAAAAATTATAAACGTTATTCTATATTATCTACCAGGACCCGTTTTAAAAAATGGATATGTGAATAAGGATTCGTTAAAAAGATTAAAATGGAATGTAATTATATTACTTATTAAAAATATTTGTCAAATGAAACTACCTGTTTTATGATGTGTGCTCAATTATTATGACTGGTAGCCATGACAGCGATATTGAAAATTGCCGGAAATCATGCGGAAATCAGGACGTTGATTACTGTCGCGCACAGGCTTAGTCGCACCTCTCTCTGTATCTATAACTACTTTTGTGCAATCTGTGCCGTGCGCTTCATCAGCGTTGGTCATCAAAATCTCTAAAAGTTGCTTGAACATTTCCGTAAATGTTTATTAGTAAAGCATTATTAATGTTAGTGTAAATAAACGCTAATTAGCTACTAGTAAGGAGAAGCTATTATACATACGTATGTAAGTAATAATAACTTAGTAGCATACATTTCTAGGATTGTTTAATGCAGTTATATAGGAAGTAAATGGGGCCAAAAGCACTGGTTTAGAAAAAATACGTTTGATTAATGTTTTAGTTTTTCCTTCAAATTGAAGCAAAATTATTTTAGAAAAATGAACTACCGAAACTATGTGTTATGTGTCAGACACGACGCTGAAGCTTTCATAAATCTAATTTACTCCTACCTGGCTGACGACACAACGTTTTTATTTTCACGAAGAATATCTGTGCATTATGTTTATGTTTTATTCATTTGTTGTTTTGTAGCTGCCTTATAAATTGTATAAGTCCAAGTTTGTGTAAGTTGGAGGTTTGAGTAGTGTCATAAGTCGGTGTACTGTTAGATTTGTTAATTTTTTTGATTTTACGGTATCTTAATTCAGTTAGAAGTGCAGTTCCGACATTTTTAAGAACTTTGATTCTGCTGACTGAACTGTGGAATCGTAGAAACGTCCAAATTTTGACGATGGCTACCGTTATCAATGGTGCTTAGAACTTTTTACTATTGGCGATATTTTCAATAATTTTAAAGTATAATCATTATAATCGTCAAGTATTAAAAATTGAATAATCATAACATGTCATTGGAATGTATGCATATGCAATCAACCGTGCAGTCGAATATAAACATTTAAACCCACTCTTTGTCCAATTGTATTGTACTATCTGGAATACGTCAAAATTAAAGATTTTTAATTAAAAATTACAATGAAACGATACAATCGTGGACATCGAAAGTGTAGTTCTGAGAATCCTTTCCATCTTTTAATTAAACATTTTAATCATCTAGAACGTTTTATTATCAGCTATCCTCGTTGAAACGATTTTATTTAGAAGACGAAAACTCTTCTATTCTATTTTGATCCGCTCATATTATTTAAAACGCTTTCTTACTGTTGTTTTGAACTAGTACACTGAACTGGTTTGATTAGGAAAAAAATTAAAAAAA